TGTCTGGTGCACTTTGTTGTCAATTTGTTTGCCTGAACAACTTAGCTAAAAGGCAGCGGCTAAGCGCAAAGGGCCCAGTGGCCAAGCCAAAGCCAAAGTAAAAGTAAAACCAACAAATCCTGCCAACAAACCTACATAGATGCTCGATAAGGGTTGAGGAGTTGGAGGTGGAGGTGGAGGCTATAAGTGGAGTATATTCAATACAAATGTGTGGGGCACTTGGAAGGCGCCATCCGAACTGCTTGAAGGGCAGCCGCCAGCTCCAGCCCATTGTCAATAAAAAGCTGGGGCCAACGGGCAAAAAATAAACTTAAATCGCCTATTAATGGCATACACACACAGTCCCTAGCAACTGGGCAAGTTTTTGTTGGGACTATCTACAAAGTCAGCAAAAGTTAAGTTTTGTCCTGCGTTCAGGAAATGCGAGATAAAAATGGCTACTCACTTCTCTATACAAACACACATAATTCAGTATGTGTATGTAAGTGGTGGAGAGGAGTCGAGGGGTATTGGTCTGTGGCGGTAGAGCGGAGGGATTAGGTGGTGGACGGTGACGGTGGTCGTTTTAACATTTGCAAGCTTATCGTTTTGACATTTAATCAGTTCACTTTGCAGTTCATTTTGTTGACTCGGAATTTGCCCAAACCGTTTGCTGTTGTCTTCTAGTTAGTCTGTTCATTTTGAGCAGGCCCAACAGACGGCTGGGTCACTAATTAAAGCATCTTGACTTGGGTACACGGCCTCATTAGCATAATTCTAGCATAGCTCCTCGCAAGCTATAGCGTTCAAACATAAAATTATGAAACAAAATCATATGTGGCCACCCAAATAAAAACTGCGCATCTTAACAAGCAAGAAAATCAGAAGAAAAAAACCAAAAAAATGTGTAAAAAAAGTTGACACAACAACAACAGCTACACTGAAATAGAAGAAGAAAAAGACGAAAAACTGGACGCTCAACGAAAGTTGCCCAGCCACATCGAACCAGAATTTCAATCAGTAAATTGAACACCTGAACTTAACTGATTTCGTGCTGTGGGTCTGCTGCTGGCAACTAACAACTGGCAACTGGCGACTGGCGACTGGCGACTTGGCCAGGGACTGGGGCTGGGACTGGGACTGGGACTGGGACTGGGGAGAAGCAGCGTGTGAAGCCGAAATTGAGAAAAGAAGATGTTGCCGCCACAACGAGAGCAACAGACACACACACACACACACACACACACACACACACACACACGCACACAACAACAAAGAACAACAGCAACAACGACAGTAGCAGCAGCAGGAACAACAGCAACTAAAGTCGAGCAAATGGGGCGCAGCAGGAAATTAAGACAGGCATACAAAGCCAAAGGCAGAGTGACAGAGCGAGAAAGACGGAGAAAGAGAGAGAGAGAGAGAGAGGACGCGAGCGAGTCATCGATCCCTCGCAGCCAGTGTTGCCCCAATTAAAAAGTCAACAAAAATCCAATTCAAAATCAACTAAAGTAATTGCTCGAAGCAGCTTAATAAAAGTTGAAAACTTACAAAGCTGGCATTGGGCATTTATTTAAAGGCTAGTTTTCCAGTTGCTCATGTTACGCTTAGTTCGCAAACATTTCTTAAAAAAGTCGCATTTTTTAAGCATATTCCCATTGACATTTGCAATAGCCAAAATGGCAACACTGCTTTCCATTACAACTCATCCACATGACAATAGGAACGTTAGCTGGGAGACCATTATTATGCCAGCTGTCTCAATCAGAAGCAGCAGCAGCTCCAATACGAACTCCAATTCCAAGTCCATTTGCAAAGTGCTGTCAAAAATCGCTGAAGAAACTCGTGTTTATGGTTTTGTATTACAACAGAGCGACCTGTGTTTGGCTTGGACATATCTCCGTCTCGGTCCCTGTATCTATCTTTGTCTCAATGTGCGTTTCGGACTTAAGATTTGTATAACTTTAAGCCTTATTAACATATTTTATGCCCCGTCGATCTTTTTGTATGCTCCATTCTCCATTCCATCCCATTCGATTCGATTCCAGCCCCAACCACAGCTCGATCGCCCACACACAAAACGAACGAATTTTTCAAGCCACACTTTTGCCAGTCTTGAGATCTAAGACTGAAATGCTGTGACGTGAAAAGAGCGTGTGGGCTGGCCAAGATCGATCCATACAAATTCATTTTGGTTGCCCCTCGTTTGCCGCACGCAAGCCAAACACCAAACACCAAACAACAGACAACAGACAACAAACAAAGGCATCAGGTGAAGACTATGTTGTTGTTGAAATTGTTGGTGTTTGTTGTGAATTGATCACAAAACTGGATTCTATGCAGCTTTACATCTTTTTGGCGCAGCCGAACGAATTCTAAACAATATCAACAGTAGCCAACTCAGTGGGTCAATGACGCTTAGTCGCATTGAATCAACCTGAAAGCAATTATAGTACTACATCTATATATGTTATATATAGTATGCGTTTACCAGTGAACTCTTTAATTGAGCTCCATGCTGGATTTATTTCTTGTTATTCCACTTTTTTTATTCACATTTAGTTACTTTTGCTCAAGAGCCAAAAGTAAGTTTACAAAATTCAACACACGATTCCATTTCCATTTTGGATTGAAATGTGTTGTTGACAATTGTTTCTCTACATTGTCTCTCTACCTTATCGAACCTGTTTATTTACCAGCTTCAATTATTTCTCAAATATGTTGGATTAATTGGTAGTTGCTACACTTAGGAAATATTAAAATGTCTCGTTCTGTCGTCCATTCATTCCCCCCCTCTCTCGCTCTCTCTCTCTCTCTCTCTCGTGCTCTCTTATGTAGTTATTTATTGCCTCCACTACCTAGCATACTCTTAATAGGTATTATTAGTTCTCTACATAATACCCATATACTTGTCTAGCCTTGTACTCATAATACTCATATGCTTGGCGTAGAATGCAATCAATGGGCGCAGCACTTGACAGCAATGACATTGCTTCATGCACCGAGTCATCCTTAGGTGCCACATGACTGGTCGGTCACAGTTGCCCCACCCATTGGCAGCTAATTGAGTTATATACCCCGAAAGTCGGAGGCAAAGCCACTGTTGAGCCCCCATGCCCGATAATCAATAACCACATGACGCGGCACTTGGGCGCGGAAAGTGCAACCAACGGGGCACCAAAAGAATGGGGCATATCAGGGGTATCAGCGGCACCAGCACAGGTGAACGAAACGAAACGAAACGAAACGAAACGGAAAGAGAGAGCACTATTTAAAATCGAAGAGAAATTCAAATACAAATCAATTCAATAAATTAATATATACATATGTATCTATAATATATGTATGAAAACGACTTTTTTCTTCTACAAGTTTTATGTATTTTTATTTATTTATTTACTTTTTTCTTTTCGGCTGTTGGGGCAGGGAGGAGTGCGGTCGAATTCGGGTTTCACTTGCGGTGTCTCGCTGTGGGGCCCCCCAAAAAAAAAATGAAAAAAAAAGGTTGTGTGGATGTCGCTGCATGTCTGGCTTAGTTAGTGCATTGGAAGTGTTTTTTTTTTCTTTTTCTTTTTGGGCTAACGAATCGAATCAAAACGTGTTAGAAAAGAGCATAATAATGAACTGGCAGCTGAGCATAGACGACAACGACAACGCCAACGACAACAACAACAACAACAACAACAACAACAACTAACTGTGCGACCGACCCACTCACCGGCAGCATTCGAATTCGAGCTGAAGCTGGAGTTTTTCTTTATGGTTTTTCATTTGTGTTGTGGTCGGTCCAGTTGCCATTGCCGTTCACGTGGCTGGATATAGACGTGTGTGGGCGTGTTTGCAATAGCAACGACCATGCAACCACACAGCGCAGCCATACGACACCTTCGACAACGGTGTCGCCATCAACATCGCCATCGCCATCGCCATCGCCATCGCCATCGCCATCCACATAGCCATCGACAACGACAACATCGTCGACCAACTAAATCCGATTATAACTAATTATTATGAACACCAAACATTGGGCTCACTGCCCAGCTACACTCAAAAAATATATGCCCCAGAATGTTACATGTTATTTTTAAATTATTTAATTAAACATTATAACTGGATTACCCACGAGTCTGACGATTTTCCGATTAGTTGGTCGTGAATTTTTTTCTCAGTGCATAATCAAAAAGAGACAGTACCAGAGCCAGAGTTGTTAGCACGGATCACAGGGCCATTGCAGCTGCAGCTCTTAACTCAATGATGTCAATGATGATTGCCTAAACAGCGCCAAGTTCCAAACTCTAAACTCCAAACTTGAGCTCTCCAAGGGCTTGGCGTGGGCAGTGCCTCATTGGCGTTGTTCATGTTGTTGTTGTTGTTATTGTTTTTTTTTTTTTTTTTTTTGTTTTTTTTTTTGTAATGCAAAGTTGCAGCTTTTTATAAGCTGTGTATACATACCGGCAGACGGAAAGATTTACAGTTGGACAGACAGACAAAGACAATGTAAATCGCATCTAGTTTAAACTGTCAAATGCAGGCCTTATAAATAATTCATGTGAAACACGTAATTGTGGATTTTAGATGAAAACATAACCAATGCCATTAACATTCGATAAAGAAAATCGAATAGTCGGAGAGGGGAGAGCGATAGAGAGAAAGCGGAAGAGGAAGAGGAAGAGGAAGAGGAAGAGGAAGAGGGGTAGATCCAGTAATCGGTTGTCATTGAAAGACAGCTAATAATTATTATTTCTTGGTGTACAATTCTACACAACTATTTTCAATTGTTTCAAATAAGTCTTTTTTATTCAATTAGATGTTTTCATTAAAATAATATTCGCGTCAGTTAAAGGACAAATGGCTTGAGTTATTAAGCTGTTGTCTGTTTGAAATGCTCGTCATACAATAATAATATTGTAGTAGTTAAACGCTTTTAGCCAAGTTCATCAAGTGTATTCGGACTTGTATTTGTTTATGGCCACTCCGCTCGTACGAGGGGTAAGTATTAAGTATTTGTCAAATAGACTTACCGTTGCCCTCAAGGCTCTTTTGCTCTGCCAGTGACTTTGTTAAAGCTGCAAGAAAGAAACACATATAAATATATATACACACACACACACACACACACATATATATATATATATATACATATATATATATATAATATATATATATATATACAGATAATATAAGTAAGTCTGTATGTAATTTATGTTGTATGTCGCATATAAAAGCCAGCTTATTAATTTAAGGTTTTCTTGTGTACACATTAATTGTTGTTATTGTGCGCTATTGTTGCTGTTGCTTGCTTTTGCTATTCTTGCTGCTATTGTTGTTGTTCTTTGGTGTTGCTGTTGCTTTGCTGTTGTTTGTTTTTGTTGCTGTTGCTGTTGTTATTTTTGTTGTTCTTGTTCGACTATAAACACGCACGAGTCGTGTTAGGTCGCGCCGGCTTCCGCATTTGTCCGCTGAGGCCTTTGGCCTTTTTATACAGGATAGTCCAAGGCCGAAGATAGGAGGGGGGAGGGGGTGGTTGATCACAAAATGTTTATTAGACATATTATAGCCAGTTGGTTGAATGGTCGCAGGTTCGTCTACCAAGCAGAGCACGCATTTTTCGCATAAAATCGACATTTTTATGCAGTTCTCATAATTACGCACAATGTTCTGCATACAGCTGGTGGGGGGATGAAGGAGGATGATGTTGAAGTGTGTGTGTGTGTGCGGGGAGGAGGGAGGGGGTGGTGTAATAACTTTGTGATGGCCCATAATTGCTGCAGTTTTAATGATTTTTTGCTTCTGAGCATTGCAAATTGATTAGGGACTCCACTTAGCGAAACATATGGCATATCACTTAGGTAATTGCCAAAGTGAAATGCATTCGAAATAAAATATTTCAATTATAGATCGACAAATACTAGCGATTCAAGTCATTCACTTGTGTATCTGAAATATTTCTTCAAAATGTAAAAAGTATGTGTGAATGTGAGAGCAAGTGCAGAAATGATTTTGGCCAAAACAACACAATTTTGTTTCGAGTGTATCGCGTTTAACAAGTTGACCCTTCTCTGAAGATGCTGGTGCTGCTCTCTGGTGTTTCTTAGTGGCTGGCAAACGATCCGTGAGACTAGAAAAGGTGGCTTCAAAAACAATATCAGATGGATGGGCTTAAATCGGATTTAATTTCAAGCTGAATTTGATGCTGTTTCTATGATGGCCTCCTGTGGCAGCCACTGAGCTCGATCCCAACTCAAAAATTTCAAATGGCTTTCAGACGACCACAAAGCGCAGCTGGCCAATAGCATTGGCTAAATGACCGACGTTGTACTTGGACAATTTCAAGGCAGAAAAAGCCATCCGTATACACACACATATAGATATTGATATATATATATATGTACAAATACATACAACAAATAGTTTTTCCGGCTCAGAGCATTTTTGTTTTATGCTGCTAACGCAAGTTTTTAATTGAATTACGCTAGCTGGAGACAAATGCAGAAAATGTATATTTACGCACACACACACACACACAACACACACAGAGATACGGATGTATCTGAAAGATACAGATGTTACAGGAAGACGGAGATAATTGATGGAAATATTTGCAAAAATTGTCTGCATTGTATTATTTTACGGCATTGTTTGTTTATCCTTCTGATAGTTTTGTCGTATTTTAGGTATTACATCAAGTTGCCAAGTATTTTCCAGGCAGTGCAACAAAAATTACATTTACCAAAATTGCCAAAGAGTTCCCTTGAGGCTGGCCATAAAATAGTTTGCAGTTGGAATTCTGCACGCCTGAACGCAGTAATTAATGTGTTTAAGTTTCTGTTCTTGATGACTAGAGAAGCTTTAAGCAGTAATGTGGATAACTTTCAGTTCGTGAAGATTTGAGAAGCTTTAACATTCATGGAACTTATGCTTGATATACATAAGGGATTTTTGACTTGACTATTGGTTGGGCCAAGGGAACTTCACTGAAATCAGCATCAATCAAGTTTTCTGCATTCCAATTACTTGACGTAATAATGGGTGTCTCTCAGTCAGTCAAGTTTCTTCGGCATTTCAACTTCTTTGCCACTTCCATGCATACATGTAACAAATTGAAAAATTGACATATTTGTGGTAAAGCAGGTAAAGAAGGAGGTAGGGGTGAGTGAAACGGTGGTTGAGGGGGGCGGAGGGAGAAGTGGAGCCTATAAGTAACCACAGATAGGGTTGTTCGGCACCGGCACATACCCGCCCTCCTGCTGGCCGCCCGACTGCATATGATAAACAGCAGGTCATGATTCATGAGCCTGGCTCTATTATCCTTTTGCATGCGCCAGCCTAACGAAACTGCAGTTGCGGCAAGCAGTTGGACAGCGGGGACAGGGGTGCGAGTGTTGCAAGGTGGGTTTTGCCGGCAACAACGCGGGTGGCATAAAAGTGAAATATATGCGACGTATTCATAAGAAAACATGCGATGCAATGAAAGAAAAACAACAAAAATGAAAATAAAAAAAAAAACAGAAATACATAAATATAAAAGTACAACAACAACACGAAGATAGAAAACCGTGTGGCACGAAACCGAAACAAACCAAATGGAACCCAAAGCCCTGTTTGCTGAATGAATCAGTCGATTCTCTGTCTGTCTGAATAAAAAAAATAAACACACAAATTTATAAATACATATCTGTTTTACGTGTGTGTCTCTGTGTCTGTGTGTGTGTGGTGGGGGTGGTGTGGGTGGTGGGGGGTGAAAAACGCACTCCAGGATACGGCCAGGAGACTACAGACAGCTACAAAATGGATGAACGTGGCAACAACCGTTAAGTGGTTGCTTGTTGTCCTTGTTGTACTTTGAAATGTTTTACAAATTCAACAGAAAATTGTATTCACAACAACAAATAAATAAAAAAGTGAAGTAATGCAATTGCTTTATCTGACTGAGAGAGAAAGCGAGCGAGAGAGTGAGAGTGACAGAGAGAGAGAGAGAGAGAGAGAGAACGAGTCTAACAAATGTGATACAAGCTTTGGTGGCTCGGATAACTTTTTCGCTTTTTCGTTGGGGTGATTTATCCGGCCCAACTCTCTGATCGAGGGTGTCAGCTGTCCCAGTCACTAGTCAGCTGCTGGCCAATGCGCTAATTTACGCAGCGGGGGCGAGCAGCCCAAAAAACACAAATAAACCAGAATAAAAAATAAAAAATAAAAAACCAACACACAACTATAATAAGCAAAATAAAAGAGGCATTGCAAATGAGACAAAGCGGCTGCTTAGCGCATGAGTCATCCTGCCAGCAGGACGAGGGGTGTGGGCTGTGTAGTGAAGGGTGGCCAAGTGCGTGGGGCTGAGACACAATAAGCCAAGCTCTTTCAGAGGGTTGCGTTCTTTCTATTTTTGATTACTTCAGTTGGAGGGATGATGGGGTGGGCAGGGTGGGTTGTGGAACAGCAACAACTACACTGCTTAACTGGAGCAGGACAAAAGAAGGCGGCTTAGATAAGGCAACAGCTGGAGTTGGCGCGGGGGGCGGGGCGGGTTTGCCAGCAGTGCATATATAGCAATGAGTCACACTAAAATTGCTGTGGCTGCTGATATCCATTTGTTCGAGAACATGCTCAATTCTTTTCAATTTTCAATTTTCAATTGTTGCCACCTATATATATTTATATTTGGTGTGCGAATGTCGGAGTCAACTTTCGCCCAATTTCAATTTCACTTTAAATACTTAAAGTATGCTGTAAAATAAAGCTGACTTATGACTCAAAAGTTTAGCCAATCGAGGAGTAGAAAAAACAGTCGCTTGAGTCAGTAGTCTGACTGGCAAATATTGGGAAAAAACTGCAAAAATTACTTTTAGTAAAAATGTATAAATACCTCACAATTAATAAAACCAAGGCACATCAAAGAATACACACACTTGCAGACGGGAGTCTGTCTACTGATATATGAATTTATGTTTTTAGCTTAAAATTTAATCATGATTTTATTCATGTTCAATTTAACTAGCTGAAAGTTGATCTTATAAAAGGTTTTTTGCCAAGCAGAAAGTGTATCTAAGTTTTATTCAGTTGACCTTGCTGTTGTTTTTATTTTCATTTCAATTCTTTTTATTTTAGTTGAATTTTTTAGGCAATAATTAGGTTTGTGTGAAAATTTATCATTTTGGTAGCAGAAGCCACAGATATTTGCCAGTATTTTCACATACACATGCGGCCTTGCGGCCGCTCTCAAAGTTGAGCTTATCTAAATGCCATTTGGTTAGAGGCTAGCGAGTTGGGAGCTGCAGTGCCATCTATAGATTCATAGATAAGACGACCCATTTGTGGTTGGTCCAGACCGCTGAACTTGCCAACTTTGCAGCCAGTCAGTCAGCCAGTCAGTCAGTCAGTTAGTTGATAAAACTGTAGTCATGGCTAAAATACTCTTGGGCCAAATATAAATATTAAATTTGCGCATAAAAATAATGCTGCTACAGATACAAAGAAATGCTAAATGGGTGCGCAGCTCAAGTTGAAGCTGAATGCTAAAAATGCTATATACATATATATATATATATATTGAAAGAAGAGGATGAAGCCCAGAACCAATCGCTGCTTTAACCGCTCCAGGCTTGGCTGGGAGAGTGTGGGGATTGGTGCGGTTTGCGTTGGCAAGCATGCCCGTCCATAAAAAGCTTGGCAGACTATGAAGTGCTAGCCAAAGGTCCTGACGCAATTGACGCGCCGGCAACGTCAACGTCAACGACAACGCCAGCGAGAAGCGGCAAAAAAGCAAGGAGCAAAAATATAAAGAAAAGGAGCAAAAAAAAACAAAAATGGAAGACGACTCCATAATAATTTTATGCGCTTCCAAAAAACTTCCGCTCCGTCATAGCGTTGTGTTTCCGGCAAAGGAGCGTCACGAAGACATTTCACACACACACACACACACACACACATGCCGCCAAATTGCCATAGAATTTTTGCTTTTACTTGGCCCGTCAAGCTTTTCCTTTATGTTCGCCTTGGTCGCTGGCTTGATTTTTGCCTCCGACACAACCGAAGCTCGTCTTGGCCAGGGAACGGGGAATAATCTGGT